AAGGTTCTTTAAGGAACCAAAATTTTTTCTAATCTATGACATTGCTGCAGAATCTCCCTGCTGAAATCTTTATTTTTAAGAGTGCAGATGACATAAGATCGAAAAAGTGTTGTATTCATAAACCATGTGGCTGTTATTTGCTGGTTAGGGTTATGAAACCTCTTTCCACTCATGCACATGGCTGTCATTGTGACATTTGAGATTTTGTGCTGCAGAATATGTCGAGCAAATTCCCACACACCACAAAACAAGGGCTGGGAAGCTCAAAGCAACCCGACACCTGGTTCCTCTCTGTTCTTCAAGCACATGCTCAACTGTTTGACCAGAAAAGATCTTCTAAAATTCCTCAGATACATTCCTCCATCCAGTAGAACTTGGAAAGTCAACTCGACTCTCGCAGAAAGCCAAAGACAACAGCAGCTTGAGAACAGAAGTCTTGGAGGTGAATATCAGGGTGTAAAAATCATGAAGTTGAGGTGAAAGAGACCTCGCCTACCCTGGTTCCTCCAAATGCAGCAGCCATCCTAAAGTGTATTTAAGGGTTGCTTTATGTAACACACTGGAAACCTCAAATTGTCCAACAGGGTCGTTTGGGGACGGAGGAATTTGAAAGCTTGAAAGCTTAGGCCTAAAACACCCAAGAGAGGAGGGAAAACCCGAGCCACCCAAGAGAGCAGAGCTTGATCTCAGCCCAGATGATCTAGCCATGCATGCTTTGGGATACTGCACCTGTAAAAAGAACAGCCAGAAACATCCAAATAATGCAGATGTGCTTTAAATACAGCATCAGCAGCAACAGCAATTTCTTAGACAGGACCGGCTGGTCAAGCTTTCAGCCAAAAAAGGCTATGGCTAAAATAGGTCAGAGGGAGAATCAAAATTGGCGCAGTTGCGGGGCTAAAGAGAGTCTTAACACATTTCTGTGTACAGTGGGAATGGCATCATTGCACTTGTTTAGATCACTGCTCACACTTGTTCTAATAATAATGTGACCCACATACACACACATGAATTTTTTCCTGAGTGCCAGCAGAATGCAATGAGATCCGTCTTCAGACCCCGCCGCTGCAGCCCCTGCTCTCACCCCATTTGGACTCTTTTTGCCTCACTGTTCTTCCTTTTAATTTAGCCATTTTGTCTCATTCCGTATCGTTCAGTCTAATTTTGCCACATACAGTCTCATTCTGGTGCCTTGAGTCTTATCACATTTGGTCATATTCATTCTCATTTATTCTGATCAGTCTCAGTCTGACTTGTTTGATAACGTTCAGTCGATTTTCTTCTCATTTAGTCTCATTCAGTGGCATTCTGTCCCAATTCTTTTTCTTATTTAGTCTCAATCCGTTTCCTTAATTGCATCTAGTTCAGTCTTAAAGGGATAGTCCACCCAAAAATAAAAAATACCCCATGATTTACTCACCCTCAAGTCATTCTAGGTGTATATAACTTTCTTCTTTCAGACAAATACAATCGGAGATATATTAAAAAATGTTCTGGCTTTTCCAAGCTTTATAATGACAGTGAATGGTGGTCGAGATTTTGAAGCAAAATAAAGTGCATCCAACCATCATAAAAAATGCCCCACACGGCTCCAGGGGGGTAATAAAGTCCTTCTGAAGTGAACTGATGTGTTTGTGTAAGAAAAGTATCCATGCTTAAAACTTTATAAACCGTAATCTCTGGCTTCCGCTAACTGTCGTACGCGCGTTCATGAGAGAGTGGCGTTCCAGCGGATGACGCAGGACGTAGGTGTTTCTAACGTTCTTCAAAATATATTTTGTGTTTTGTATGAGAAATAAACGCATACAGTTTGAAATGACATGAGCATGTAAGTAAATGATGGCAGAATTTACATTTTTGGATGGAATATCCATTTAAACTTTGTCTCATTGTCTCAGTCATTCTAAATTCACTCCCATTTTGTCCCTTTGCTGGATGGAGCTCAGGCTTTGGCTTATTCAGTCTGTCAGAAGGGAGACACGCTGCTGACCTGCTGACATGCACTTCCGAGGGGTGTGTGATGATACAGTCCCCCAGGGAAAGGGGGTAGACAGATCTATCTCGACATTCTACAGGGGCGTCAGGGCACTTGGAAGTACAACATTTGCCCCTGGACTCATTCCAGATCTAAAATGAAGACACGATATGGCCATGAGATAAAGCCAAATCAAGAGGGTGTGAGAGGCAGCTGCTCTACTTCTAAAACTCATTGTGGTTGATTGTTGCATTGAATGGCATTGTTTGTTATTGTTCAACAAGTCATGGCATTGAACAATTTATTCAAAGCATCTCACACCTGCTGGGGTTTTAACTGAAGACTAACCATAGCTTTAACCTTAAACCCTAACCCTTTAACCTGCCCTAAGTATTATTTGGGCTTCCCTTTGAGATTTATTTCACCCAGTCCAGGGGTTTGCACACCTGCTTGCTTTGATCATGCCATGACAGCAGGATTTATGTGAACTTTTTCATCAGTGTAACCAAACAAGCAAATTTCAAGATGCTGCTTTTTATGTAACTGCAACAAAACATTCAAGATTAAAGTCAAAGGGGTCAAATTCAGTGTTATTTTAGTATTATTTATATACTATTAGTATTGATTAATATTTTGCATTCGCTTTTATTTTGATATTTTCAGTATACATTTTTGTTTGATTTTATTTCTTATAAATCTATTAAATATTTGTGTTATTAGTTATATTCTTTCATTTATTTTTATCAGGGCTATTATATATTATATATTATATATTATTGCGTTACTTGGAATAAAATAAACTTTAACTGAAATAAAAAATATTTTAAATTATTTTGTCAACTAGTTGTCAAGGTAAAAGTCCTCATCTTCATTTAGTTTATCTTGATGTAATAAAATAACTTACTAATTAACTAAACTAATTAAAATGACAAAGCACACAACAAAATCACTAAAACTTAAAAATTACTGCAAAGTGAAAACAAAATATAAAGATAAACACTAATTCAAATAATTATTTTAAAACTATAATAGCATTTTAATGATACAAATTTTTGTTTCATGTTAAGTTTAATCTAAAATATGTATTGAAAATGATTTTGGGTATGGGGTCGAATTAAGGGATCTAAAATATGGTCATGCAGAATAAGGCATTACTATGTGATTCAGTATGCTAGTAATATGCATGCTAATAAGCAGCAAGTTAATAGAGAAAATTGGTCCTTAAAATAAAGTGTAACCGAAAAGGCATATTCAGGGACAATCATAGTTCTGACACCAGAAGCACTGCAGCCTTCCTTCTGTGCACACACACACACACACACACACACGCACATTTTTCTCTATCACTGACACACTTGTGCAGCCACACATTCCTCGGCCATCCTGATGATGCTTGTCACATTTAAAAATAGTTTTCCGTTCAGTGCTCCATTGAGGTTTATTTGTGTTTCACTGCGTCAGAGTCCAAAAATGCTTTTAAAGCCCTATGAACTCACAAGGCGACCTCTGAGCTGGTGCAAAAAGAGATGTGCATAAGAAAACACAAAGATTGTATGACGACCAGAATAATGCCATTCATCCAGACTCAAACAGTCTAGCCTACATCATTGTCAAGGACTGTACTGGAGCTCACTTTCATCATACTTCTGTTGTTTATCAGCTGTGCGATTTGTTAAGACGTTACCACAGGGGAGTCGTGTATCCCTAGGAAATGGAATTTCTGGTGTTTTGTAAACGGTGTCCTCCCTGGCTGTCTCTAACCGGGATCTTCAGGGGATGTGGATCAGTGAGCAATGACATCATTTTAAGTACTGTGGTGGCTCCATGTTATCAGATGGTTATTGCATGGTATTTTAATATACAATGACCTCAAACCGTATTTGGACACAGATGTATGATATTGTAGTATATGTAAGGAATAACTGACAACAGGCCGTTGAATTATTAGAAAAATAATGCACACCCGAAATGGTAAGGTGGCCACAACACAAAGGGGTCACACCTCTGTGTGTGCTATTTTTCTAATAATTCAACCGCCTGGAGTCAATGCTTATACCACAGTTATCATCAAGACATTGTTCAGATGATGTATTTCAAGACATTCGTCAGGTTTTGCATGTAGGACTATTTTCTTACACGTGCATCTCATCTCAAGCCTCCGTTGCTAATTCCAAAATGTCATTGCTGAAATGTACTATTTGAGTAGATTGAAGCATCTGTTGGATGTAGTCAACTAAGTCAGTCATTTTGTTAACTTAAACTAAACAAGTCTTTTTTTAACGTAACATTTTGTTAACATCACCATATTTATGTTTTCACGTAAGATGCTCTGTTGAAATGAAAACGGCCCCAGGTCTTCAACGGTTTAGTGAAGTGGGTCTTAAAGGAGCGAGAGGACGTTGGGCTCTGCTGCCGAGGGAATGTGGATGTTTTTTCAGTCATACATATTTGGCTAGCCTTGGCCCAGTCGTTGCTTTAGGGATTGTTTGCAGTCTGTCAGTGAGGGTCAGTGTTTAAAGGCCTCTCAAAAGTTAATATGTCCATAAATGGGCAAGAAGTCTCTCTCCCTCTTATGATCTGTGGTTACCCTTCTCTCTCTCTTTCTTTCTCTCCTATTTGTCTATTCCAGCTCTCCTCTCTCTAAAGCCTCTATGAAACTCTCTGCAATTACTACATTATCTCTAGAAATCCTATTTTTATCTTTAAAGCTTGTGGTGTTAATTAAAACATGTAAACATACAGTCATTTTGAAATGACAACAACAGATTTTCTCATTATTCTGGCTTTACAAAGAAGCATACTTTTATTGTATTAACTTGGGTAAGGTTTTTATTTTTTCAAAATCCCTAATGTGAATTTGTGTCTATCTTTCTGTCTGCCTGCAGCATCTCCAAAAGATGGTTTCAGACAGAGATAAATACTTTCTTTGATCTTTGTACATGCTTAAGATACATGTGACAGTTAAATGAATTTCAGTATTGGATTTATGAACACAATTGCGATATCTTTGATGCTGAGTACAAAGAAAACTAAATTATTTCTCCATCTATCCAGGTGAAAGACATTAATCCAAACATTTGAGCTGGATTATCTTCAGTGAGGATTGAGGACGCATTTAAAACAGCTGCTCTCTGAGAATGTAACCCCTGCACTTCTACTTTGCAAGACTCCAGCAAGTTTATCGCTCAGTCGAGGAGATCTGAACTTCCAGGGCGTTCCCCGTTCCTCTCCATACCCGCTAGACTCTATAGCAGGGATGCCTGCCAAAACGCCCATCTACCTAAAATCCAACTACAGTAAGAAGGGAAAGAAATGCCGTCTGAGGGACATTTTATCCCCGGATATGATCAGCCCGCCTCTCGGGGACTTTCGACACACTATCCACATTGGAAAGGGCGGTGAATGCGACGCCTTCGGTGACATGTCATTCCTGCAAGGAAAGTTTGAGCTTCTACCAGGGAAAGGTGGTCGTACTCGACCTCAATATGGCATCCACGGGGAGTTCACAAGAGCTAATAGCACCTCAGATGCATCTAGCGTCGAAACTCCATCGCCAGTCTTGAAGAACGCAATCTCGCTCCCAACCATCGGGGGCAGCCAAGCACTGACTCTACCTTTGATTTCCACCACCGTGTTTCCCATGACCCAGGATCGCCTGTCTGAGCCATCTACTCCGCCAACTGGTTCTGAAGATCTGGAAATCCTGCAGATGGAGACTCTGCTTCAATCCATCAATGCCTTGAGGAGTGACCCCAGCCCCGTCCCGGAGGAGGACGAACCTTTGATTGACCGCACTGAGATGCCTGAGAAATCATTTGCGAAGAAGAAGATGCACAGCAGTGAAAACAAGCTTGAAACATTTTTGTCTGTCTTTGTTAATGGAAGCAGTGATGCCAATGGGAACTTTAGCAATGGTAACAATGGCGATTCGGTCTTTGAGTATGAACAGGAGATGTTCGGCTTCAAGGGCGACTGGGTGGACAGAGATAGTGGTGTTGAAGAGGGTCGTCTATGCGATTCGGACTTTGAAATCTCCAAAAGCAAAAGCCACTCACAGGAGTCGCTCACTCAAATCACAGGATCCCTTTTCTCTCTTGAACTCGACTTGGGCCCATCCATTTTGGATGATGTACTCGATATCATGAATAAGCCGGTGTCTTAGAAAGTGACTTTTACTGAGAGCTAAAAGGGGATCTATTTGTCTTGAGCCCATAAACATGACATGGCAATACTGAGCTGAAGAGGCTGAACTTTCCTTCCCAGAGTAAGTTTTTTGTCTTTAGCTTCGGAGTGTCTTGCTCACCTTGTTTTGCAAAAATAATGCAATTGACACACAGCCGCTGTGCCTTTTAAGTTAAGTTTAAGCATGCATTGATTCTGATGATGTACATGCAAATCAAACAAGGCTTTTTCTGTGTACTGTTGTTCATCCACAACATCATATAAAGGTCAGTGTGATAATGTGTACATTTCTGCAAACATATACAATGTTCCCATCCCAACGTCCTTCACACACAGATATATGTATACTGACAGTTTCATTAACCACACTACCAAATCTTAAAGGCATATACCTAGAGCATATATGTTTTTACGTTGTGAAGCTAAATATGAAATAAATGAATAAATAAACAACTCTCTTTTAGTTTATTATTATTTTTGATTGTTTTGTTACTCTTTTTTGTTATTTCAGAATAGGGACGACTGGGGCTAGTTTTCACAAAGACTATGCATCAGTAACTAGAAACTCTGAAGTTCAAAAATATCAGTGGTTTTGTATATTATTCTGTTCTTTATAAATGTTTAACTGTTTAAATCTTGCTGAAAATCCTATAATAGGCTATTTAAATGCAGGTTCCCATTTTGACAACTTGCCCCATACAGCAAGAAAACATGACCTATCACTGGGTCATGTTATCACAAAATAGTATGTGTTCACTTTCAGCAATAAACCTACCAAGAGAAATATTCATTGGAGTAAAAAGTGTCATAACTTTCCCCAGTTTACCATATTGAGTGATCCCTATATGATGTTCAAAGTGTGTCACTTCATTTTATAAAATCAGTCAGATATTGCAGCAGATGTGTACGTAGGTGGACAGCAAAAAATGAGGGCGATGGAGAAAAACAAAGAGAAATTGACTTGTCTTGTTAGCATCTTACATTCCTCAGATTGTGTCCTGTAGTAGGAGTGCATGTGGGTGAGATTGTGTCTAAAAGGATATGCCAGTACTATTCGTTTGTGACTTGTTGGGACAGAGAAAGAGCAGCATGTAGCATTCTCAGCATTCCTATGAGAAAACAAAGAGCACGGCCATAAATAAAGCCAATGGACTGAGGCAGAGGGTCATGCTCTACGTGGTCATAAAAGTGAACAGCCTGAAGACAAACTTTGTCCTGTACAAGGAGATATGACTACTGCAGTGTCTTGGTGACGCAGAGGTTTGTTTGCAGCAATACTGTAGAGTCTGAGTGCCAGACAGCTGCAACATAATTCAGCTTTTTCATTCAGGTTTCAAACTTTCCATGGAATCTGCTTCTGCAGAAGTCCACAAAAATTGAACAACTGCCCTTAAGAAAGTTGTACCCATTCTCTGCTCTTTGACTGATCCCACACTAAGGGTTCTATCATACACCCGGTGCAATGCGGCGCCAGGCGCGACGCAAGTGTTTTTTGCTAGTTTCAGCCCAATCTAGTGATTATTTTCACGTCCTGCACCGCGTTGTTTAAACAGCAAATGCATTTGCGCCCATTTGTGCGCTCATGGGCGTGCTGGTCTGAAAATGAGGTGTATTCAGGCGCATTGTTGGCGCCTTGCTATTTTGAGGCAACTGAAATAGACTGCACCATTAACCAACTAAAACCTGGTCTAAACTCAATGGCGCAGTAGTTTTTTTGTTATTTAAAGAGTGCTTTAGTATAGGCAGGTCCTGCTTATTACACACACAGGGACGCACAGCAGCACACAAACATGCCAAATATTAAAAATTAAAGGATTGCAATGTAAAAGATTATTATTGTGTAGGCTACATACAGGTGCATCTCAATAAATTAGAATGTCGTGGAAAAGTTCATTTATTTCAGTAATTCAACTCAAATTGTGAAACTTTGTGTATTAGATAAATTCAATGCACACAGACTGAAGTAGTTTAAGTCTTTGGTTCTTTTAATTGTGATGATTTTGGCTCACATTTAACAAAAACCCACCAATTCACTACCTCAACAAATTAGAATATGGTGACATGCCAATCAGCTAATCAACTCAAAACACCTGCAAAGGTTTCCTGAGCCTTCAAAATGGCCTCTCAGTTTGGTTCACTAGGCTACACAATCATGGGGAAGACTGCTGATCTGACAGTTGTCCAGAAGACAATCACTGACACCCTTCACAAGGAGGGTAAGCCACAAACATTAATTGCCAAAGAAGCTGGCTGTTCACAGAGTGCGGTATCCAAGCATGTTAACAAAGTTGAGTGGAAGGAAAAAGTGTGGAAGAAAAAGAGGCACAACCAGCCAAGAGAACCGCAGCCTTATGAGGATTGTCAAGCAAAATCAATTCAAGAATTTGAGTGAACTTCTCAAGGAATGGACTGAGGCTGGGGTCAAGGCATCAAGAGCCACCACACACAGACGTGTCAAGGAATTTGGCTACAGTTGTCGTATTCCTCTTGTTAAGCCACTCCTGAACCACAGACAACATCAGAGGCGTCTTACCTGGGCTAAGGAGAAGAACAACTG